CCTGTGCGGTCAATTCGGGAACGACATCCTTGATGCTCTTCGAGTCTGTATTTTGCTTGGCCATCTCCATGACCAATCGCGTCATGGCGATGCCACTAGATGGCCCCAGGTATCTCGACTCGTCATTCTCCTTGAACCTGATGCGACCGGCTCCCCGCACCATGAGTTCGGCATCTGCAGCATGCTTGAACTCTTTTTCAAGCTCAGCAAGTTCATTCTCAAGCCTGCGAGCCTTTTCGCGAAGCGATACAATGTAGGTCCTCGATATGGTGCATTTACGGGCCGAATCGTAATATACGCACTTCGCATTGCTGCGCTCGCATGGCGCGCATCTCGGTATCCCTGGGTCGCACCTGGATTTCCGCTATTAAAGGAATTAGCGGGAAATTTATACTATTGCTCTCGAAGGCAAGATAATCGCGCAGAGTAGGGGTGGCGCTTGAGCGGGGGAAAACACGCACTTGTCTGCACCGGGTGCAAGCGGTCAATGTATGCGCGATGCGGCCATCGGGAGTTTGATTGGAAGGCTCCACAGCCGTGGATGGTGCTTCCTTCCATGGGTTGGTAAAGTGAGGGCGAGAATTCGAGGATGATTGCGCCGCCATGTTGGTGGTGGTGGTGGTGGTGGAAGATGCCCCTAAGAATGGGTTGATCCAGAGATCACAATGCTAACCAAGGTGTATCGTATCGTCAATGGTATATGCCATGAACGTTGCATGTGGCCCGGGGGATTATTTTTCAAGGTAATGATGATGAAAGAGGGGGAAGGAAATAAGGCCAGGACATCAGGCACAGATGTTTCTGAGATCTTGATAGGACACCTGACGAGACAGCACGTTCGACATGTTCAGGGTTCGTTCCGACGTGGGCCCAACGGCAAAGGGTAGGTAGGCGGCGGCGATGTACCTGGAGGGGGCAGAGTGTATGAGAAGAGGAAGGAAAGCAAGGGGGAACTTGTGCTGAATGTGGAATGTTATGTAAGCCACTATCACGACAAGTCGATGATGGAATCCATATTGGCGATCATAAGGAAATGAGGGAGAATATGCAGACTAGTTTTCTGGGTGAACAGGTGGGATGGGGCGAATACAGAGGAGTAGGTAGCAGGAAGAGGAGTTGTTGAAGAGGGGATGATGGGGGGGGGGAAAGATGGGAAAGTGGAATAGAGGCGGAACTGAAGTCAATGAAAGGCCTCGGTCGGTCCACCTCCCGCTTGGATCTACGGCACGCTAAGCCAGAGCCCCCCCAAATTGTCGTAATTTACCCTTCAGAGTTCGGAGGCTCCCAAAGGGTGAGGGTGAGAGTGAGGGAGGGTGCAATACGGTGAACCATACTCGCCGCTTATGCAGATGATGATTATTGGGGCCTGACGCTCAAGCATTCAATGCAAGGATGTGTGTACATCTGCAGTGACGAATGACAATGGATTATCGACAACTACCGCATTACTGTACTTACTCTAATTATGTGCTACAGCCCAACTAGTCTCTAGGTTAGTGCATATATCAACAGTAGGTACCGGCAGTCACCAGACAAAATTCAAGCCCTATCCGCAAGATCTTGGACTGGGCTGTTTCGGCTCCAATAGATCGAGAGAGTCTGGGGCAAATTCGAGGCTCAGCGATTGCAAATTAGGAGTCTTTACGCGACATCCGAACCTACACCCACGATTCTATCGGCATTCTACCCTAGAACAAGCCCATCGCAGAGGGTTTCGTGTTATCGATCAGTCCCTGAGCCAAGTCATTCACCCACTGGGCCTCAGCTTATCTGCTCGAGCTCGGTTGCGAAATAGTCCGATGCCCAAGCCGTCGTTTGTCCTGTCCAGTTCAGTCCAGCCTTGCAGGTCATGCAGCAGGCCGGTTTGTCCAGCATTCCAAGGAAACGCCTCTCTTGCTCTGTCACATATCCCATATGGTGCAATGCAGAGTACTGTACGTGACACAGGTGTGAGGACATTGAGGAAACCCCTTTCACTCACGGGACTGTATCTTGTCTTCCTCGCTCGGCGTTTGCACGGAAGAAAGAAGGTGAAATCGAATGAGCAGTAGTCAGTCGGTTTCCACAGTCTGCAACATCACTGGATCCTGGGACACTACTAGAATGGTCAAAGACCACAACGATCCGTTCTTAGCTTGTCCGATGGGTCCACATTTCCACCATGTCCACCATAGCCCTTTCCAACCGTAATCGGAGGTCTTCCCTTGGTAGAGCTCGCCATCGAGGTGAAGCCATCGAGGGGAGGCTAAATTCAGCGCACCAATCGAATTCTCCGCAGTCACCCTTTTCTCTTCCAAGCCCGATCATTCTGTACTAGAGTACTCCTTTTGAGATCTCATCCAGAAAATTTTTCATCTTTGGCTTGCGTTCAGATTCGGTTGGCCCTCGTGTTTCGGATAAAGAGATCAGGAGCAGGGATCAGTGAGGATTGTCCTTCCCTCAAGTGGTCAAAGTGCCGAGGCGTGTCGCATCGCGAAGATCACTAGTTCCGACCTAACAAGAACCAGGGCTCCTAACTGGTAAGGAAAACCGAAGCTTTTCTCGATTCAAGGCCATGCATGGCAGCATGATCCATGATTCGGACCGTTGGCTCCGTGATGCCGTTATGCAACCTACGGTGGCTGTTTTTGAATCAGCTGAAATGGCATCACCCAAGTAGCCGAACGGTTTTCTAGTCAGTCCACCCTTGTACGGTATGGTATGTATGGTAGTGTGGATGCTCCGGCCGTAGGAAAAGGGTGAAAACGTTTGGATGCGTGGGGGGAGACGGTGGGGCTCGCGACTGGACCAAGAGGGGCGTGAGCAGGAGCCAATTTCACCTAGAGATGAGATGTCTGCCAATCATTTCTCAACTAATCTTTTAACACAGTTATCGCGACATCACTTAAGTTAGTACTGAGTACCTTAGTAAGGTATGAGTAACCAGATGGGGGGTCCTTGCTATAACTAACACCCAGTGATGAGTAGGTTTTCTGTCTGCCATTATTGTCTGGCCTCAGGCTACTTCTACTCTAGTACCTAGACCCCAAATAGGTAGGAACCTCTGTTCGCCGGCGCGGGCGCGGGCCTTCAGGCTAGTCTAACAATTGACTAGGATCACTGCTAGGATCCTTTGGGCTGGAACTACCCGGTACGTACCTTACTAGGCAAGGTATCTACTTCTCTCCCGGCCTCTTGAGTCTTACTGAGGAACTATCCGACCCATCTTCCCACTTTTCCACTTTTCCGAGTACACTGCTCTTTCTCTACTGGCACCAATTAGTAAATGGCTGACAGGGGAAAGAAATACTGGAAGCACTTAATTGCAGGTAAAGTGCGCATTTTACCTCGTCATTCTTGATATTTCATAGCGAAGTGTCGCACTCACCGTTCGGCCACCGCACATCTAGTCAATCCGGGCCAAATTTAAATTAATATAATAGCCGATATTCCTCGCTTCGAGGAGCGAGCTAGCCTCTCCATACAACAAAGCATGATCTTCGGCTGCAGTCTAGGCAGGAACCCCCCTTACCGGTAATTCCCTCCCGCGTGAAGCTGATCAATGCAGTGAGATCATGTTGGATAACTTATATAATTAAGCACCGTACCCCGTACGTACATGGTACCTAGTAGACAGCCTTAGGGGTTTTAGAACATAATGTCTTCTGCGACCGTGATTGTGCTGGAGCGCTTGACTGTGGTAAGAGGATTAAGAGGGATAAATGATATGCTGGTGCCTAGTGCTGGATAGAAAACAAGAGTATTATGATATTGTTGTACTCAATAGTGTACCCAGTAGGGAGTAGCTCTGCTATACTGCCAACAGCTTAGTTAACTGTAGTTGGTCCCCGGAGGGGGTGACGTCAGGGTGATGCGGACCGCCGAGCTCCAGTGGAACCCCCCCAAATCTGATAAACTGGAATTCTACCTTGTCCGACGACTCAAACCACACCTGTACGAGTCCACTGCTGCAGTACATACAGTACGGACTACGGAGTACATCGACTCCTTCACGATTTGCAAGTCTAGTCTAGATACATACAGCTCTCAGCCTTATGGCGCTCCCCACTCTCGACTTAGGTCTTACACAGTCATTGGGATCCATAACCTTCATTTGACTCAATGCCTCTGCTATGTCTCTCTTGGTGGTATCTCCACTGACCTGGGAGGTAAACCCGGAGAAGTAGCTTCGAGTAGATTGCAAAAGAGACAAGAAATCTCAGGTTTTTTTAAGTTAAATCAATGGATGTGTCGAGTCAAGTCGACGAGTAACCTTGTCAAAGCATAACTACTTACTCAGTAAGTACTCCCGGCGAGCATGTGATGCCAAGCTTCCCGGGGTCTTCAACCAACTGAACTCGAATAGCACAGCTTGCTTGCTTGCTGAAAGCTCCATGATGGTTTGTCCCGCTCGACATCACGATGGCTTCTCACCCCACGTATCAACGAGGTGCTGGCGTCGATCGCGGTCGTGGATAGGTAGAAGCTTCCCGTCTGCCGCTTCTCTCCCCCGTCCCTGCTGTAGAGTTTGTTTCCTTCCTCCAACTGGCCAGCCAGCACTGGCTGATGACCTCATCCACTTGAGGTTGACGACGACTGGCGGCGAAGGCGATGATGATGATAATGATGATGAATGATGCTGTGGTTTGGTCCTTTGTCGCACCACCACCACCACCACCACACCTTCTTCACCTCAATGGCGCTCAGGAACCGGTCCAGCACCTGTCACTAACGACACCGTGACGTCAAACCATCCTTCTCTCCCTTTTCCCCTTCTCTCCCAAATGCAGCCACGATTTTGCACACCTTCCGTGGGCGGTGATCTGCATCCGGCGAAGGTATTTATTCTTCGCTTTCGCTGTGTTCTTCTACGCTTTTTTCACTAGATATTATTTTCGCCTTTCCTGTTCATACCTGGAATAATATTACTATTAATACCTGATACCCAATACCCCCAATACCCCCCAATACCCCCCAATATCCAATCACCCTATCTCATACCCGTGCAGCTATACACATTCCGATCTCAATCCCAATTCACAGGTTGCGTCCTTCATTCCGACGATACCCCAGCGACGCGACCCTTTCCTCCCTTGGCCACTGCTATTGACTCCTTCGCCATCGGCTCCACGGGAATCGCTTATCATCCCCGGGATTTCAACTCTATCGCCTTTGCGATCGATCTTTGTTTCTTAACAGCCACTTCACTTGAGCTCCTTGGCAAGACGCCAATTCATAGGCGATCATTGGTCCCTTCGGGCTTCCATTCCACTCACCTTGTATCGTCTCGCTAGCTAGCGCAGAAAGTTATTTATCATGTCTTCCAAGGCAGCGGTTAACCACCCCATGAACACGAAGCAGAAGGAGCAGGTAAGCGAATTCGCTTCCATTGGTGGAGGAACTTCAATGCTGACCAGCATGTGATACTAGGACATCAACCAAAAGCTGCAGCTCTTTGGTATCTATCAAGCGTTCAAGAATGGCAAGCTCCCATCGGTGAGCATCCGCTCCTCCCCCTGGATGAGGACGCGAACTCATAAGCTCTTTCATTATAGAACAAGCAATGCGACGTTGCCTTGAACACCGCGCTCCAGCACAAGGCTCTCTCTTCCCCGTCGAAAGAACTCTCCACTGAGGGACAAGGCCTTGTCCAAGATCTCCGTGATGTTATCAACAACGCCAAGAAGCTCATGCTGAGCAAGAACGACGGCCAGCTGCTTCAAGAATTCCTCTGGGAGGCCCAGAACATCTCCGCAGAAGATACAGAGAAGCCTGGTGTGCCTGTGACCAAGGACGCGGCTCAGCAGGATGCTCAGGAGTCCATCGAGGGACTGAAGACCTTAGGAAGACTCCTGATCACTAATGGAGAATTCAGAAAGCTTCGTACGTGAATCGTCCAAAAGATTGTGCAAAACAACACCTTGACTAACAACCATTTGCAGTCAATGATGCTATGATCCTGGCCCGCGATATGGCTGGCGATATGTCCCAAAAGGCTTCCGACCGGCTGAGGCCATCACAGGACCAACTTGCTCAGATCGACGAGCCCGCCGAGGAGAATGTGTGGCATGAGCAACCGGACTTCTCGCAGCAAAAGGAACAGTTCAAGTCCCGCTTCAAGAAAAATAAGGAAGAGGTAAGTTTTTCTCTGATGTTGAATGCTATAACAACTCACACGTCATTAGGGCAAGCAAGACGTGACAGATACAGCCGCTCAGGCCGCGACCGGTGGACAGCAGCCCCAGAGGGTCTCAGATGTCGATCCTCGTGCTGGTGTGACCGCCGGAGCACAGAGAGCTCAGGAACTGGTCTCAGACAATGTTCCCGAGGAACAGAAGGACCGGGCTCGTGAGTACCGTGAAAGAACCAAGAACTATCTGTCAGAGAAGATGCCTCAAGAGCGCCGCGACCAGGCCATCTGGCGATTGAAGAAGATGGTCATTGAAATCCAAGGCCATTCTGACTGTAAGTCATTGAGAAATCCACGCGAGCAGAGCACCTTTTGACCTAAAGCTAACCCTGAGATTGTTTATAGACCAGCAGGCTATTCGGACTTTGCTTTCAATGGCCGAGAAGTATGGTAGTCACACCCGTAACCTTTCTCAGCAGGGTGCTGGGTCAGTCCAGGGCTTCCGAAGCGGTGATAAGATCCAGAAAATGGAAACAAACCTGAGGGTAGGTCATCCCAGGCCGGATGTCTGCGTACAATCACTGACATGACATATAGACTCTGCTTGAGCGCTTCGCCAACAGCACTTCTCTTGACAACCTCTTCGACTCCCTCGACAACATTTACCGAGATGCGGACAGAGACCCCGAACTGAAGGGATGGTTCCGCAACATGGACACATTCATTAGGTATATATAGATTTTGGCCAACAAAGGAGCTTCGCTAACGATTGATCTAGAAAAACTCTGACCGAGCAGGGTTACATTATGGAGGATGACTGCACCCGTCAGTGGAACCAGTTGAATGAGCACGGACGATACCTACTGCGTGACCGCTACAAGGACCACACAGATCGTATCTTGGATGAGATCAAGTTCATTGGTGATCAATTCAACCAAGATCCCCAGAACCTGGCATTCAGAAGCTCCTTGGAGAAACTCTTCGAAGACCTTGGTCGGGACTCGAGCGGCAATGTGGCCTTCAAGAAGCATCTTCTCAAGGACATTCGGGATGTCATCCTCCCTGCTGCCTTTGAGAACGTCCGTTACGTCCCGGTCCCACGGATCGAAGTGTCTGACCCCTCAGCTGATGTGGTTGTGGAAAACCTCGTTATTGAGAGCGACAACTTGATGCCAAACGTGGTTGAATTCGGCAGCGACAACTACTTCCGCTGGGGACGCAAGAAGATTAGCAGCAAGAGAGACAACAAGATCATGATCTCTGTCTCGGGGATCCAAGCCGATCTTAGGGATGTCAGCTACTATATCAACCGAAAGCAGGGATTCCCAGCAATCACTGACACCGGTATCATGGACATCTTCTTGGGTGGTGAAGGTTTCGGGTTCAAGATCGCGGCCTCTACTGCCCAAAAGGAGGATAGTCAGCACTACATCAAGCTGGACAAAGTGTCCGTCAAGATTGACTCTTTCAACGTGAAGCTGAAGAAGTCGAAGCATAAGGCACTTTTCACCATCTTCAAGCCTCTGCTCTTCCGTGTCGTTCGTCCGACCCTACAGAAGGTCATTGAACAGCAGATTCGGGATGCGTTCGCCAAGGGTGATGCCCTTGCGTACGAAATCCAATCTCGGGTCAACGAGGCTAAGGAGGCCAGCCGCGAGGACCCTGCCAACGCCCCCAATATCTACTCCCGCTACCTGGATGCTTTCCGTGCCCGTGGCGAAGAGAAGGCTCGCAAGGCTCAGGCCCAGGCCCAGGCTGCGGCCCAGCGTGGTACCAAGGTCCAGACCGCTACTACTCTTCACGATTCCATCTTCCCCGACATCAAGCTTCCTGGTGGTATCTCCAGCAAGGCTACGGAGTACAAGGAGTTGGCCATGAAGGGTGAACGCTGGGAGTCCCCGGTCTTCAGCATTGGCAGTGCGTCCGAGTCTACCGATATTCCCAAGCCGGCAAGCATCTCCCGCAAGCGCCGCTCCCCTCTTGAGCAGGGCCCAACCACTGGGGCAGGCACCAATGGCTCTGCGGCTCTCGCTGACGGAAAGCCGACCACCGGAGGCGTGGCAGCTCTTGATGGCCGGGCGGTCAATGGCTCTCACGCCCTGGGCACCAACGGCTACACTAACGGTCACACCAACGGGCACGCCAATGGCCACACTAACGGTCACACTAACGGCTACACTGCCGGCACCAACGGCTATTCCAATGGCCACTCCAAGCCCTATGACCATGTGGCCGCCTCCCGCGGCTTCTCCGACGAAGTCAACCAAGCGTTCGGCAATGGCCACACTAACTTGAGTGCCAATGGCCGTCCCACTGTCCCTGGTGCTCAGACCGCATTCAACCCCCAGACCGCTTAAGCTACGCCTGAAGGACTGGACCCAAGACAATTCGCAAAACAATTGACGGCTGCTGGGATTCCCTCAAAAAAAACCAAAGTAAATGAAGCTCGGTTTACCACGCTAATCAGCTCTTTTCTTATGTCTTGTTCTCTGTTTCCTGTTTATTGATACCGATACCTGTTTGTCAGTACTGCGTACTGGGATTTCTCTGGTTCTAATGTGTCACTCTTTTCTCTCCACTTCCATACCACGTGTATTAATGATTGTTTATGTCGGTTGATTCCCTGCTCTGGTTTGTGATTTATGTTGTGGGATATCTCAGTAGTTAATGATTAATCCATTGTAACTATCTGTGATGTTATTCTATTCTACTTGCCTTTCAAGTGTAGAAGGTTCCGCCCAAAATATCCTACCAAGAATAGTCATACATCCAATGATGCAAAATTACAGTACACCCACTCCTGCATCCGCCTCTTCACTTTAACTTCTTTGGGGAAACTGCAGTGATTGAAATCATAAGCCCAGAATGGCATTCAACAACTTTATCTCTCCTATCCCCAATCCTCTTTCTATCTTCTATTTACCCATACCGTATCCGATCATAACCATTAAAGAAAAGAGAATTTTAAGCCAAGGACAAAAGTAGAAAGCAACAACAATTTTACATCTGCTCAAAGTACTTTTCCCAGCCCAGCTCCTGCAGTTTCGTACCCTTCAGCTCCATGTTCTCGGCGCGAGCACTCTCGGCGTAGGCCTCGACCTTCTTCTGGATGGCCGGGTCAAAGGCACCGAGGATGCGGGCGGCCAGCAGAGCCGCGTTGATGCTGTTGTTGATGCCGACGGTGGCGACGGGGACGCCTATTGTATGGTCGCGTTAGCCGGGGTGATGCTTTAAGTGAAAGTGATGGTGAGGGGAGGAGGTATGCGGGGAGTTTGGGGAAAAGATATGCTGTTGCCGATTATGCGTGTACATAGGCAAAGGGTTCATTGGGTGTAGAGTTACCTCGAGGCATTTGCACAATGCTATACAGACTGTCGACACCATCCAGCGAGCTACCCTTCACGGGTACGCCGATGACGGGGAGGGCGGTGTGCGCGGCAGCCATGCCGGGGAGGTGGGCGGCGCCACCGGCGGCGGCGATGATGACCTTGATTCCGCGGGCCGCGGCGCCGGCGGAGTACTCGGCCATGAAGGTAGGGGTGCGGTGGGCGGAGGTGATGTCGACGGCGGGCTCGATGCCGAAATAGTCGCGCAGGAGCTTGAGGCCGGGGACCAGGGTCTTGAGGTCACTGTCGGAGCCCATGATCACGGCGACCGAGGGGGCGGGCTTGGAGGGCCCGGAGGAGGACTGCGGCTTGGTCTTGACGTCGCTGCGCTGGGCGCGGATCTGGTCGACGACCTCGATGAGCGGCTGGATGTGGGTCTCGGCCTCGTGCATGGTGGCAGCGGTCACAGTGATGTGGCCCATCTTGCGGCCGGGTTTGGCGGCGCCCTTGCTGTAGAGATGGATGCTGGCGTTGGGGATGGAGAGGGCGTGCTCGGCGGCGGTGAGGTGGGTATCCGGGGCGGCGCCGCCGATGATGTTGAGCATGATGGAGGGCTGGCGGAGCTCGAGGCTCTTGGGAGGAATGGGGAGGTCGAGGATCGCGCGCAGGTGGGCTTCGAATTGCGACATGGCGCATCCTTCGATGGTGTAGTGACCCGAGTTGTGAATCCGGCTGGCAATCTCGCACAGGAGAAGGCTGTCATCCTCCAAGAGGAACATCTCGACACCGAAGGCACCCTTGCCGTCGAACGCGGCGACGGCCTTGCGGGCCAGTTCTTGGGCCTTCTGGTTGATCGCATCGGAGACGTTGCGGGCGGGGGCGTACACGAGCTTGCAAACCGAGTCCTCTTGGACGGTTTCAACGGTGGGGTAGGAGAGGACGGTGTCCTTGGTCTTGACAACCATGACGGCAAGTTCCTATACAATTGCTGGTCGTTAGTGTCGTATACTTCGTGGTATGTGTGGCGGGTTGAGGGGAAAGGGGCCCGAGGACGAACCATCTTGAAATAGGCCCATTTCTCGGCATACAAGGGCCGGCCCTTGAGAGCTTCCAGAGCTTCGGGGATGTCCTCTTTCGTGCGCACATGGAAGTTTCCTGGTTATGCCATAAACCTCGTCAGTGATCCTGCACCAAAAGGCGTTGGCAGAGAAAGTATGACTCACCGCGTCCATCATAAGCCATAGTCTTCGACTTGAGCATCATAGGATAACCCAACTGCTCGCCCACCTTAGCCAGTTCCTCTGGTGTGTTCTCAGTAAGCTCGCGATGGTCAGCCATGGGGATGCCGTATTGTCTGAGGTGCTCCTTCTGGTCGAACTTGTTCTGAATCGTGCGAATCGCCTGCCAGCTGGGCTCAATCTTGACCTGGGAAGCGATCTCCTCGAGAGCGTAGGTATCGACATGTTCGATCTCGGCGGTGACCACGTCGCAGGACTTAGCCAATTCGCGGACGGCTTCGCGCTCCTTGAAGGAACCGGTAACGTGGTCGTCGTGGGAGCTGATCTGCTTGGCCGGGGAGTTCTCCGCATCGAGGACATTGCATTGAATATTGAGTCGGTTGGCGGCCTCGACCATCATACGGCCCAATTGGCCTCCACCAAGAATTCCGACCTTCGGGGAGTTCCACATGTTGCTGGTGGACTTTGTTAGACCGACAGAATGCACGACGGAGCAAATATAAAAAAAGTTGACGGGGAAGCGACGAGCGAAGGCCGAAAACGGAGAGGATCTGGGGAAGGAGAAATTGAGCCCCTCAGTCACGTGGGGTCCCGATAAGCGGCTGTCGGGGCCAATCACAGTGGGTGGTTGCCGGGGAGCCGCTCTTCCTCCCCGCGCGCGCGCGTCACGAGCCGTCGATTAATCAATCAATCACTCAATCCATCAATTAAACAATTGCATCACGTTGCTTTCCTGCGGCCTCTTATCTCTTGCTTACCATTCTCCTGCCTTTTCAAACAGAGGCAAAGATTATTGTCGTGATTATGTCGCTTGGTAAGTCTCCGCGCTGCAGCCCAGTCTTCAGTCATCCCTTCGCAAGCTATTCTAGCTCAAGTCCGCTTCCTTACACTACACAACTTGGATCACCTCTTGCTCACTCAGCGCGCATGTCAGACGAAGAGAGCCTCGAGACAGCCGCCAATGGCGGTACCATAGACCCGTATGCTAGCCTACCTGCTTGGCTCGTCCATACAACGCTGATATTGTCCCTGCCAGCTCGAAATGGCCCAACATTGTCGAACCGCTCCTTGAGCGACTCCAACATGTGCGCAACCCCCAAGATACCACACGCGCGTCTAGATCACCGAGTCACTGACTAGCATCCGGTCCAACAAGAACGTCTACAATGTGTTCCCCATGCCCCGAGTGCCCGCAGCACCAGCGCAACCACCCACTCTCCCCTCCGCCGCCACCATCCTAGCACAAGATCCCACCCCTACAACAAACAACAGCACCGGCAGCACCGGCAGCACCAGCGCCGACACGAGCAAACCCCCCAACCTTCAAACCACACCGCGACCAACAGCCCCCTCCCCAACCATGACGCCTCTATCCAGTAGCGAACGCATCCCGGACTCCCAGCCAGGCCCATCATCATCATCAACCTCCACCAACGCACCCACCCTCCCGGCCCCCCTCGACCATCTCCTGACAGCCATCTCCACCAACATCCGCACGCTCTTCCCCTCAAAACCGCCCCACACTATCCAGCGCCTCGCGGAGCTCATCCTCCGTCCCACGGCGCACTACCGCACCCTCCCGGCGTACCTCCGCGCCGTCGACCGCGTCGTCTCCGTCACCAGTCCCGCGGATATCTTCCCCTTCCAGACCACCACCGGCACCCAACAACCAGTGCTGTCTCACCACCAACAGCCCAACGGCACCCTTAACGGCAGCGCGACGGCGGCGACGGCGGCGGCGGCGGCCGAACCGAGCTTCATGTTCTCCGTCGACAACGCCCTGGGCAGCGACGAGTCGCTCGGCGGGGCGCTACTCACCCCGATCCCGTGGTTGCACAACGCTGCGTCGTCTCCCGACGGGGAAGGCGACCAAGAAGCCGCGGGTGGTGGCGTTGTAGGCGTGATCGGGCAGAGTGAGACTGGGTTTGCGGCGGCGGCGGAGACTACTACAATCGGCTCAGGGGGTGGTCTTGGTGGTGGTGGAGGAGGAGAGTCTACGACCGCCACGACGACGGGAGAGATCGATCCTGAGAACGATGTGATGGGCGGGATGGAGTCGGTGCCCACCGAGCCGGTTGTGGAGGACGTTCCGCATGCGCGGGGTCCGCCTGTCGTTGGGGTCGAGGATCTGGGATTACAGGATGGGAAGGGAGTGGAGATGAATCTCGATGGCGCGGCGGAGAGTGGCCAGCAGCAACAGCAGCAGCAGGACCAAACTCAGAAGGAGAGCCAGGAGTCGGCTGCGGGACTGCAGGGTGGCCCGCAGCAGCAGGAACAACAGTCGAGTCAGGGAGGGGGCCAGGCTCAGGAAGGTAATGCTAAGCCTGGTACAGATGGCGATGGAGATATTGCGCTGGAGGATGCAAAGGCGGAAGAAGTGTCTGCGACAAGCGAAAAGGACCAGCAGCAGCAGTAGAAGCAAGGTTGAGGGGGACTCTGGATTGGCGTCTATCTGTGTTGGCGTCTATCTGTGTCAAAATACAAACTATGATTTAGCATTGCATGCATGTTTATGAACCTGCATCGATGGTGAGCGAAGGCTCTCGAATGTGATTCGGTAGTTTCGCTGCGAGGCATGTACTTGGCTTACAGGCTTGAATGTGGAGCCTGGAGGTCCTTGCGTCCTTCCGATAAGTGCCACGACAGGGAGAATACAGGGGAGTACAGTAATCAAGGAACTTCAATTCTCATGTTGAAGAATGATCATCCAATTGTTGCGGTATAAGATTTATAGGCCGTCGGAAAGAAGGCGTTCTACCTGAAATAGGGAGAAATCAAAAGAAACATAAATCA